TTCGTTTTTCATTTTTAGAAAATTTGTATTAGCAGCTATGGTAGAAAAATGGATAAAATTTGCATATCTCTACAAAAATATACAAGGATACATTGAAAATGAAATGATAGAAGTATTGTTTACTCGTAAGGCATTAGATGTTATCATACTTAGACAGGAAAATGAAAACATTTTATTTTTTCGATTGATGCAAACTTTAATTGCTGGCAATTCTGTCATTGTAATATTTGATGCAAACTTCTGTAATCCGTCATCGTATTATGACATGTTTTCGAAATGTGGAATGCCTCCAGGTGTTATAAATTTATTATCACATGAAAATATAAGTACGCTGGAATCTAAATTATACGGAAATTATACAATGTACGCAAATAGATATTTCTTGAAAGGCACTTCGTTGGATGCATATATTGGATCATTTAAAAATCTTACTACACCAAAAGTAATTACAATCCCTCTTCAATAATTTTGATAATATATAGATGTAGTGTTTGTGTTAGATATATGTCTAAAAATATAAATATCTTGATACATTTACTTTAATATTATGATTTCAGAAAAATATTTTGTAAACATTCATCCAGATTATTTTTTTATTTATGTAATTTTTTTATTTGTATACGTATGTAAAAAATTGTAAAATTATTGTTATAAATATAATGCTTTCACTCACATACTGTTTCTAAACTGCGTTTTCTATAGATATTAATTTTTAATAATTAAAAAAAGAAACACACAATTTTATAGTATATTTTTTATCTTTTGAAATATTTCATATATGCAGATATAGATGCAGTATAGAAGTATCTATTTAGTTAATTAACTAGAAATGGATGGAGAATAGATAAATAAACATATTAATTTTTTTCTGTGATTCTTTATTACGTATATCTGTTTTAGACTTTACTTCGTATCTGTATGCAACGAATTAGTCATTATATGGATCAGCATTCCCTTTCATATAAATATTTTTGTGATGTTCCTTACTTTTTATAATTATTATTCGTTATAAATGCGTTATAAAATAAGTCAGGTAATATCATTTTAGTCTATTCTTAAAATGCTGGTAAAAGTTGAATATCATCTAAGATAATTGGAAAGGAAAACCTATATTAATAAATAAAATGAATGGCATTTTCTTTTTTGAAAATCGGAACGAATCAAAATTCAATCAATAAACCTGCAAACTATATCATCATCAAACAATAATGTACAATTTTTCTATTTATCCTCGGCACTCATCTCATTTATATTAGAGTCGATGATTATCCGTTTATCCGGATATTCGGAATTAGAAATATGTCCAAGATCAAATATCCGTTTAAAGCGGATCTTTCGGATCCGAATCTGTTTCAAACTGTTTAGATATCCAAACCATTAAAATTTAATGATGAAATCCTTTATTATTCGGATTTCAGATTTCTCAATATATCTTTCTCTATACATACAGGTTGTGTTTATACTTATGTATGGGAGAGCGAAGAGTAAGGATGCGAGAGAGAAAGAGAGGGGAAGAGAATAGAGGGAGGAAGGAAAGAGAGAGGGAGGCAGAGAGAGAATACTTTGTGTGATTACAGTAATTTCATATGTGAAAAATATTCTTTCGGATCCAGCGAATTTATGAGATAATGGATTCGAAAGATTGGATCCTGACGAATTCGAATATTCGCAGAGTATTGTATTTCAATATTCAGTTATAAGATCCGAATAGTATCCTGATATCTATATACCTGGATATCTACAGATCCGAGCCAAATCAATCCTAGTTTTTAAGCCTATAATATAAGTCTGGATATACATATATCTACAATAGATTTTTAAGCTTTAAGCATAAGGAATGAATGAATCACAATCAATTATTCTCCTCGCATTCGACTATTGTTGGTCAATTTCTTACAGCTTAAGGCTTAAAATATCTATTGAAGATCTGGACTTAAGGCGCAATTTCACGCAGGTGTTATAAATTTATTATCACATGAAAATATAAGTACGCTGGAATCTAAATTATACGGAAATTATACAATGTACGCAAATAGATATTTCTTGAAAGGCACTTCGTTGGATGCATATATTGGATCATTTGAAAACCTTACTACACCAAAAGTAATTACAATCCCTCTTCAATAATTTTGATCACGCAGTGTGAAAACGTTAGCTACAGTTGAGCGGCTACCCTTACTTTGTGGTACGTTTCTCCTCTGAAGAAGCCGTCGACAAAATGCCAGTCGTTAAAGATCCATAAAGCCTCGCTATTTTTTCATGGAGTGACAAATCGCTAGCTGGATTTATAATCGTTGATATTAAAATCTTTTTTATACATTTAATTTCTGTTTGAAACTGATAATTAAGAATGAGTTTCAAAGTGCGTTTAAATTGCTCGAATAATATTTTGTCAGCAACATTGCGAAATAGATTGCTGTCGATAGTAACTAAAAAGGTTAGTTTCAATCGATTCTATGAACGAACCATGTCTGCGTTGTTTGCTAATTACTTTTAGCTGTAGTTGGGCTTCTCCAAACTTCAAGCGGCAAAAAGAACGGGTTATAGGGAGTCATGTAGAGTGAGGAGAGCCGCTAGCTGCGTGAATTGCACTTTTATCTCGGATTTACAATAGAGTGGGTGCTTTCCAACTACAATATTCCTAGACACTTTCGTGCACATAGCCACGTAAATTGCGTTCCAATTGTTTATTAGAATATATCCACACAAACTTTCATAGCCGTATAAACGTGTGCATAAAGAAAATTATCCAATCGTATTTCTCCTATAAAGACGCACGTGATTGGGTAACTTCCTTTACATACGTTTATGTGGCTATGCAAGTTGTGTGAATATATTCTTATCATTGACGCAACATTACACTTGGGGATCGATTGTGTATCTTCAAATAAGATAAAAATTACAAAAGTGAGAAAATTCACTAGAGTATTCGTAATTTAATTGGTCAATACCTAGTAACCTTTGTTCACTTTTGTTAATAAATGATAGCCATATTGCCACTGCGACTACTGCAGCTTTCAAAGGTTGTGTTCCAAAATTGATTGCAAGCGCTACAGGTATGTTATCATTAAAAAATGCTACCAACAGCGTTCCAATTTTAGTAAGCATACAATTGGTACGAATACGCGTTTCATATTGGAACGATACTCGTCATCTGCTATGGCTGCCTCACCTCTTCAAGCTGTGTTCTAAAATTGTTTTCCAGCGCTGGCAGCACCGTTTTAAAAATCATCGTTACATTCTGTGGCAATGCTGCGAGAGAATAAAGACGTCACTAAATTTTGTCGTTAAGCCTGTGGCACATACAAAAACGTAAGGCCGTAAGATGTAATCCGTAAGCGAATTGCCCAATCACGGTAGAGACCGTAAGACCAATAGCGAATCCAATCTTATTGAGATTTCCTTAAGCTGGGAGCACATAGAAAAACGTAATGGCTCCTGCACACAAAAGCACGGCAGCGCGGCGGAAGTTGGCATTGAAGATTGAGATTAAAGATTAAAATTTCATCAATAAGGACAAAGAAATTTTGGCACTTTTTGTTCTGATTTGGTCAAATTTCAATGTTTCAATCTTCAATCTCATTCTTCAGTGCATAGCCTGATTCCGGCCTTACGCATGATGCATCATTTGTTCTTGTTGTCCACCAAATAATAAAGAAAGATAAAATAATACAGTATGCGCTTCATGCGTAACTTAGAACGTACCTCATGTATACTAGAATGGACACTTTCTAATAAAATGAAATCTCTTACTACCTGCGCTTCATTGTGTTTCCGGCTTCACATTTTTGGAATCATTTCACCTTTGTTGTTTATCAGTTGGACAAGGAAAAATAATGCTCACGAGCCGTGCGAGCATGAATTGGACCGTAATTTATGAATACCGCTCTCAGAAATACTAGAATAGACACTTTCTAATAAAATGAAATCTCTTACTACCTGCGCTTCATTGTGTTTCCGGCTTCACATTTTTGGAATCATTTCACCTTTGTTGTTTATCAGTTGGACAAGGAAAAATAATGCTCACGAGCCGTACGAGCATGAATTGGACCGTAATTTATGAATACCGCTCTCAGAAATCCTGGACTCTCACCAGATGGCGAAACGGTACTGCATGAGTTAAAACTGTTCGACTTCGACGTCCGGAATTCACTGCTTCGATCCCCGCTGGCCCCGCCAGACTATCACCGTTCGCCAAGACGCCAAAGTCTCCTTCTTTTCCGGTGCGCTCTTTTGGGTGACCGTGTCTTTAGTTTTTAGCTGCAGTTGAATCTTTCTCCATCTTCCACTATGAAGATTTATAAAGATATTTTCACTGGTGAGTAAATAAGAAACGACATCCGCGATCACATAAGCCAAGTATTTTTCATTTTCGTTATCGAGACACAATAAAATGCCTAAATGATGATAGCATTTCACAGCGATATTTAAACATATTGAAAAATATTTCTGCAGCCTTTCTCTGCGCGAAATTACACTCATAGGCTTCGATGCTGCACGATAAATTAGTATGATTATTATATTGTAGTTCAGTTTCCCTATAAAATGACTATTACATTCCTAACCTCTCCGTATGTTCTGGAAGATTCGTAGGAGCAATGTGCTCATTTAGTTTTACCATAAAATTATGGAATCTATACTCCGTCCAAAATAAGATGTTTAACTCTAGGATTACAAAATTTTGTATATATTTTAGGAGACGAGATGTTCTCTGATACCTACAAAATCAAGCTGATAGACGATGTATTATACGAAGTATATGGGAAGGTATATACGTTTATCTATGTATAATATAATATAATATAATATTTATAAAGTGCAAGGAGCAATAGTATAACATTTTTTAAATTAATTTTTGTAGTTAGTTACTCGTAAGGCGGGTGATGTTGAAATCGCTGGTTTCAATCCATCTGCTGAGGAGGCTGATGAAGGTACAGACGAAGCGGTAGAGTCTGGCGTAGACGTCGTATTGAACCATCGCCTTCAGGAAACATTTGCCTTTGGAGATAAAAAGTCTTATACGTTGTACCTCAAAGATTACATGAAGAAGTAAGTACCTTTGTATATAGATTTATAGATTTCAATTTATTTGGCTGTAATGACAAAACAGTGAAAAATTCTACTATTGTATACAATTGAAAATATATCTATTTTGCATCATGTTATTATTTATACAAAAATATCCTAAGGATTAAGAAATAACTAAAAAGCTTTTAAAGTTGACAAGTTACATTTGTATGAATTTTTTATTTATCTATATAAATAGAAATGTAAATTTATACATAATGTATTCTATGTATATAAATATATTTGTTCAATTTTTTTTATAGATTAGTAGCAAAGCTAGAAGAAAAGTCACCTGATCAAGTAGATGTGTTTAAAACAAATATGAACAAAGTAATGAAAGACATCTTAGGCCGGTTCAAAGAATTACAGTTTTTCACCGGTATTTCAATGGACATTGATGGAATCGTGGGTCTCATGGAATACCGTGAGATCGATGGCGATTCTGTGCCTGTATTGATGTTCTTTAAACACGGTCTTGAAGAAGAAAAGTTCTAAGTATCTTTAGATACTGAATAAATTCTGGACAAATTTTGTGAGTCATATTCTTATTATTATTAGTAATAGTTTTATGTAGTTAGTGATATTAATAAATTATTAATTAATATTATTAACATTAATAATAATTATTATTAGAATAAAATATTATTAAAAATTTATTTATCTTATAAAGATATACATGTAAATATTCGTGACCAGCACGTTTTATTTGTGTTTGTCACTGCACGAACATGTTAGATCAAATTGGAAATAAGATTCTCGCTACGACGATTTTCTAGGCGTAGCGTTTACTATTAACCAGACATCTTTATAATGCAAAATCTTATTTTGATTCAAAGTCCATTGTCTTATTTTGACTCAAAGTCCATGTCTCTTGTCAAAAACGATCTCTTTTGCATATGTCCACTGATAAATAGGAGCTAGTTTAACGACATCGCACCGGGTTTTTCTAATTGCCTATTATTAGAAGGTGTCATGGCAAAGATATCCTCAGTGGTTATTACTACTTTTCGAGAAATGATCAAATAAAATATATGTGTGTTCTGGGTGGATTTGAACCCGAATTTTTGGCACTGAAAGCAGCCACGCGACTCTTTATGCCACAATCGTTACATCATTTTGACTAAAATTATATGTTGATCATGAATGACTAATCTTTATTTTTGTGTTTTTTTTTTTCTAGGTAAACTGGAAATCAAGACTGCACACATGCTGGAAAGCTGTGAAATTTAGTTAAAAATTAATTAAAAAAATAAATTTAGTTAAAAATATGAAACAAATAATTCGACTTCCAATCTTAATTTCCAACTTACATTAAATAAAATCTCCATTTGCGATTATTTCTTGATGAAATAATTGTACATACTCTGTAACATGACGAAAAGCAACAGAATTCTTGAGAACAATGTGCAAGCGATAGTTGCGAAAGGTGTATGTTACAATGTATTCGTTTTTATCCTTTTTTATATTAGACAATTTTATTTATATATACACAAACTGGAAGATGGGGAAAGAAAACTTACAGTGATGGACTCACATCAGTGATGTAAAGTATTTACAATTATGTTAATATCCGTATTGTCAATTTTTAAACTATATTCGACTTAATGTCCATCATAAATAAAAAAATTTTCCATAATTTTTATTTCATTTACTTTCCACATTTGTATTTATTTGTAGCCTCCTACGTTCCTTAATGCTCCTTATAGGTAATGAATGTAATATATGTAAATTGAAAATTTTTTTAAAGTGGCATACCAATACAAAATATAAATAAAAGGGAGCATACAGCCACAACACTAAATGTCTTAAGCGAAAGTCATATATTTAAAATTATAATATAATAACGTAGACGTTTCGGTCAAGATTTGATCATCAGTACATATAAAAATAAAGATGTTAAAAATAAAAACATAAAATTAAACAATAAATGCTAGTCAGAAAAGATTGTAAAATAATTTTCAATTCCCTTATGATACGAGATAACAGAGTAATTTGACAAAACTTGAAGTTGAACATTACTTAATCTCTAATAAATTATTCGCTATTACGCAGGATTCCTTATTACAAGAAGTAAAGTGCGACTCCGTATGGCAAATACGGAATTTCCAGATTTTAATTAAAATAAAAAAAGAAAATGATTTTTCAACACTATTACTTTACAATATTACTTTAAATTCTAATTTAATTCATAAGAATTAATTTAGTTACATAATAAAAATTGCTTACCATGTATTTTTTGACATAAAACCTCGCAAGTGCAATTCGAAGTTAATAGTATAAAATTAAACAAAAATTGGAACTTTTTGTAAGAACAATTACTGACAAAAATATGAAGGCACATAGTAGGCAACAGTCTTTATAAGTGTTGAAAGGAAAATTATTTTACAATCTTTTCTGACTAGCGTTTATTGTTTAATTTTATGTTTTTATTTTTAACATCTTTATTTTTGTATGTACTGATGATGATCAAATCTTGAAACATCTACGTTATTATATTATAATTTTAAGTATATGACTTTCGCTTAAGACTAGTGTTGTGGCTGTATGTCCCCTTTATTTATATTTAATATATGTAACTTATGTAAGCTATATCACATAATTTAAAAACGTCCAAGAATTTATATATATACATATATATATAAATTCTCATAAGTGGAAGCATGATGCACGAAAGCTCTCTGCCTGTAATAATAGTTAATAAATGCATTGCAAAAAGGAAATTGATTATGACTCATTTATCTTCGTCATAAGCATAGAATGTAAATAAAAATTTAAAGGGCGGGTCTGTAAATGTATAAAAATATGAGTTTTTTTCAGTTCATAAAAATATTATATTTAGATAAGTCAGAATAGACGATCTATCTCTTGGCGCGAAACCGTACATTATATTTCTTTACTCAGGGATTGTTACTAGCTATACTGTTGTACAAGTACACTCATAGCATCACTCCCCTTGTTTTGCACATGCTTGCCCTCAACAATTTCTCATCCTTTCTTACTCTCAGTCTCTCTCTCTTTCTCTTTCTCTCTCTCTCTCTCTCTCTCTCTCTCTCTCTCTCTCTCTCTCTCTCTCTCTCTCTCACCTCTTTCATCAGGATCTCTCTCTTACATTTCTACATATTTTATTTATACCCTCATCTTTCGCTTTCTGTGTGTGAATATATTACTCTTATTCTTCCTAAAACATTCGCTCTCCTCACCTGAGAACTCGACGCCTCCGTACGTGATACTTTGCACATTGCCGTACCGTTATATTTGAAAAAAGGTGTACGTTTTACATTTACAAAAGCGTATTTCTTAATAGTTTAGTAGTAAATATAGTATAAGTATGTAGACAGATTTTTTTCGTAATCTACAATGGATGCGCAAATCAAGAAACGTCTCGTTAACTTAACAAACAAAACTGTAACTTACAGCTTAAAAAAGATAGAATTGGACTCTTGAAGGATGTACATACATATATATATGCACATAAAAAATATATATGTATATATAATATATATAATAATTATATAATATGTATATTATAAATATACATAATATATTAATATATATGTAAGATATATATTATAAATGTGTATATATTCAATGTGCACATATATATAATTAATTATATTGCTTTGCTATCTACGGAGCACAACCATATATAGTGTCGTTGGTTATTAAAGCCAGTGAAATAAATTAATATCAATTTACGACAGAGTATCGTACAATACGCCTCATCCCTCCGTAACGCAAGCAAAGGAGATATCAAAAGTCGCGGTATTTTAAAAATTCGACGAAACGGTAGCGAATCATATCGAAGACTTGTGTATGAAAAAAAAAAGAAAAGAAAAGCGATGTTTTATAGGCATTCGTATGCGCGCCGATTAACGATTATCCGTAAAGTGGAATGTTACATTCAACATTTATCGACAATACAATTACAATTCACGAAGTATCCAATCGGCTTTGCAATCGGAGTATTTTTCTAGTGTCGTCTACGATATTTAAATATCCCTTGTCGTCCTCGCGCGAGAGAATAGTCTTAATTTCGAAATTATTAACAAACGTTTGCATGCGTTGTTCGCACGTATATAAATGTGCACGCTCTCTCTTCTGTGCGGGCCAGAAGTAATAATTAAAAAAAACGACCCATTCTCCGCGGAGTATATCGCATTTTTATGATAATTATTCGAAATAATATTTGATCATAATGGCAGTCATACATTATTAACTTTCTTAATTAGAGATTGCCCATACGTAAATTGTACGACGTTTATACATAGATTGTAATATACTGGCTTACAGTTTAGCTCGTTAAAGGTACGGTATTTTTAGTAGGACACCTGCTACTATTTTTCTTGTTAAGTTGAGTATACCTTACGCGCTTGATAAGAGTAAACGGTATATTATTAACATTATCGGTACCATTATTACTATTATCATTATTATTGTTATTTATTACTATTATTATTATTATTAAACTTATTTGTACTGATCTATGTAGAATGGGTGCGTAGAGAAAGAGGTTTCGGTATGCTATGAAAAGATGCCCTGTCGCGTTTGCTCTTTAAATACTAGAGTGACAGAAGAAGTTAGGATTTTACAAGTTGAAGTATATGTTAATCAATGTTGAAATTATTGAAAGGACAGAGAGAAAGAGAGAAAGAAAAAGAGACAGCATGCAATTAAAAATGTATATCCAGGATTTGCATAAGTACAAGATGTAAAAGCAAAGAAAATACAACAGATACGAAAATAAAATGTGATATCCATTGCTGTTCTACTGTACAGAGAAAGATTATACAGCGCACCCAATTCTTCCACTCTAGGACACTGTTACTAGATAAGACTGTTACTACACACGATTTGAGCATCGTACCATTTCAATGATACTTCAAAGAAGTATGGCAAAAGCAGTTTAAGTTTTATATTAAAGTATACTCGGTACACACACACACGATCCAGCATTTTTTTTTCCCAATACGGTGCTTCGCGAAAGAAGCTCAGTGTGTTAATTATGCTTTAGTAAAACATCACGGCATTCCAAAGACCACACTCTTGTAAAATCCTCTTACCTTATATAATGTATCTGATCGCAGGACATAGAGCTCATTTAATCTGTTATTTATCTTTGTTAACGCATTTTTTTTCTTTTTCCTGATTACTACTGAGGTTGTTGCATTTGTATTTGTGAAAGAATTCGGTTTATATATATTCATATATTATTTATATATATGTATAGATATATTTCCGTTTTTTATAACATTTATATATTTATATGAAACTTCATTCACAGGTAGCTTCATTCGCGCCCTCCAATCTTAATGGTCACTTACAGCATCGTTTTTATATTTTGTGAGGAATTTGAAGAGGTGATCGCTAGTCGCGCGATTGTTCAGAGGTAATTTTGGTCAGGTGCTTCGTCAATAAAAGTATTGAAGTAACAATTGTACAATCAAATGATAAGTTTGGTAATAGAATCTTGCTCTTTAATTTGCGCCCCTACTTAAAATCAAGAATGACTTGAATTCGTATATATAATAAGAAATTAAAAAAAAAATCGATTTACATACTCGATATTGCTCCTTGCACATCAGCATTAATGCATCATTAAATATAACTCGTCTTCCCTGAATAATCAAAAATACTAAAATAGGCATCTGAAATGAATAGTAACTCCAGCATGTTATAAAAAAAATTATGAATTTAATATTGTGTTTGTTTCCCACGGTACGCATAACATTAAAAACTCTCATCAAGTAGATAACAATAACCAACAACTAACAATCGTAGGCATTCACGCAAAAATAGAAATATGTTTAATAATATACAATAATATTATCATAATTTATATTATTGAAGTAAGTATGATCATTCCCTTACTATTTCTAGAGTAGTAGAGTAAATCGTATCAATGATTAGAGCTGAAAGAGTCCGAAAAGTATCAAATGTTTTGTACAACATTCGTAAAATGATGAAATGTTATTTCATAATAATTTTATTTAAAATAAAAAAATAATTTTACATACATCTGAACGCTTTCATTTTACAACATAATTGCATCATGTCATTAATAATTATAATTATCAAACTTCATAAATTCGTTAAAAATATGGATACGTATAAATCTAATATTATAAACGTTTACGTATCTCTATTAAATGAACAAATCATTATGATACAATATTATACATCTAAAAATTTTTTCCAAACGAAGAACCGAGTCAACGCAATGATGTTGACATAAAACTATTAAAATTTGACTATCACATAA